TGTTCCTGACAGCTTGTATTTCATCTGTGTGTGGGATGTTTGTGTAGAGAGCCTCAACATCCATGGTGGCTAGGATGGTGTTTTCTGGAAGATCACCAACACATGGTAGTTTTCTCAGGAAATCAGTGTCACGGAGATAGCTGGGAGTGCTGGTGGCATAGGGTCTGAGTAGAGAGTCCACATATCCAGACAGTCCTTCAGTGAGACACACAATAGCAGATTTAAAGGTAGCCATCCTGCAGCAAAAAAACTTCTGGACCAGACTTCAAAGAGAAACTGCTGAGCTTCAGTTCATTTGCAAATTTGACACCATCAGCTCAGGATTAAACAAAGACTGGGAATGGCTAGCCAACTACAAAAGCAGTTTCCCCTCCCTTGGTGTTCACACCTCAACTGCTAGAAGAGGGCCTCATCCTCCCTATTTGAACTAACCTCGTTATCCCTAGCCTGATTCTTGCTTGTATATTTATACCTGCCTCTGGAAATTTCCACTACATGCATCCGACGAAGTGGGTATTCACCCACAAAAGCTTATGCTCCAATACATCTGTTAGTCTATAAGGTTTCACAGGACTCTTTGCTGCTTTTACAGATCCAGACTAACATGGCTACCCCTCTGATACTTATCACAAAGATAACATCATATACCAGTCCTATTGAAATTGGCACAACTCTAATGACATCAAAGAAATTACACTAGCATTGAATTTGACCCTATATCTTCATCTGTTCCTACTGCTTGTTCCTCAGTTGTTTACAACAGTAAACAAAAGAAAGGGAAATGTAAAACATATGTGGTCCTGAAGAACTGGCATCAGAATAGGATGTTTTTCATGAAACTTCAGCCTTTAACTCCTTAGTATCAGAAGTTCCCAGCAAGAAGGCTAGTACTGAAAATGAATTTTCCAGGAGTCGATAGCAGGATAGATTACAGACAGTGAGCTAAATACTGTACTGTACATAATCAACAGATCTCTAGTTTGATTGCCTAGTCTGGTTTTCATTATATATCTTGTTCAAAATGTAATTAATTTTTTTTACTATAGCTTAAGTTCATTCATTACATTTTAGCTTCAAAGCTGCTAAATATACAACATAAAATACTAACTGTTGTTACAGCAGCAGAAATACACATTTGTGAGAACTTATAAAGCACAGATATTGAGGGGAGGAAAGCTGCCAAGTGGCCTCCTGCTCCAATATAATTAAGTCATAATACATTAAAAATTTCTGTCCGATATCTGAGTCGTACCAAGTGAGCTGGTTTCAGAAAATTATTATGAAGGAAACTACAGAGCAGACATCAAATCCACGGTGAGATGGTTGGCTTTCCACAAGACATCCCCCACAGTATCCCCATCCAAACACAATAGTATTGCTTTGTGGAATTGACATAAATCCAAATAAAGGTATAAACAGGAGGAGAAAACACCAGCCTTGGCTCATGGACCTTGCTGAATAAACTGTAGGAAAAGACCAGATTGATAGATATGTTAGGATAGTTTATGGCAGCGGTTTGCAACAGGGGGTCCACAGGTGGGCCACGGGGCTCCACGCACCCTTTCAGGTGGTCCACGGGGCTCTGTGGCTAAAACCCAGAGGCCGAGCCCCAGCACCTCCCATGGGGCTGAAGCCAGGAGCCGTGGGATTGAAGCCCCGATCCCCAGTGCCCCCCACAGGGCAGAAGTCCTGAGCGCATGGACAGAGTTGGGGGGACATGGGGGTGTTGCCCCCCCTAAACTACAATGCAAGAGCTTAGGTGAGTCAGGCGGTGTAGGTGACGCTCCTTCCCTGGACCCCGCTGTGCGGAGCTGGATCAACCCCCATGGAATCCTGCCCACCCAGAATAGAAGTCAAACTATACCTATGCCTGAGCACCCCAGCTCAGAGCCCCAAGTTCCCCTCCTCCCGTGCTGGGCCCTAGAGTTTTATAGCACATTGTGGGGGGCCTCAGAAAGAAAAAGGTTGAGAACCGCTGGTTTAGGGGACACCCCTAAGCAACTATTCAAGTCTGGTCTAGGCTGAAAGAAGCTGATAGAGTTTACTATCTGTTCAGAGGTCTTTATGAAATAAGTCAGCCAAATAGCCATTCTCATTTCAGTCTCTCTATTCTGTTGGACATGCAGTCACAAAACAAAAATAATTTGCCCGAATCTGTGAGGTGCTCTGCACCCATTGCTGTCATTGTCTGGTGATGCTCAGCAACTTCCAGAACAAAGCACTTACAGTATCAGATACCATCACAGCTACACAATAGCTCACATCCCATTGCAAAAATGTCCCTTTCTGCACCAGCAAGGGTAGGGCAAACCTTCAAACCCTAGCCTAACTCTGCCCCTGCCAATCATTTTAAGAATTTTTATCAATATTTTATGCCAATTATTTTCTTTCATTTGACTCCTGGTGATGATGCTATTCTAGTGAAACTTCAGTTACAGGTATTTTGGTTTCCACCTGAGATTAAAACACACACACAACTTTAAAACTATCAGACATAACATAAGATACATAACTACCATGAAATATAATTTCAGGGGGTTGTGTAAAACCTAGAGATCACTTTTGTCTAGGGTGTCAGTTATTTTGATTAGGATGCTTTAGCATACTGGCAACCAATGTAGCCTGCAGAGGGCATATTCCAAGAAGCAAGAGAACACCCGTGTTCTCCAGTGTTGTAGCCTTGGAATAAATTTCAAGGAAAGACTAATCAGGAGCACAGCAGTCAAGCCTGGATGTGACAAAAGTATGTATGATTAGGGCAAGATCTACATCCCAAGAAAAACTATTGGATTTTCCAGGTAAGACAGACTTATCAAGCATGACTATTGCCTATGGTCACAACATAGTCATATGCTGACAGAGAAATCAATGACAGGTTTCAGAGTAACAGCCGTGTTAGTCTGTATTCGCAAAAAGAAAAGGAGTACTTGTGGCACCTTAGAGACTAACCAATTTATTTGAGCATGAGCTTTCGTGAGCTACAGCTCACTTCATCGGATGCATAATGCTCAAATAAATTGGTTAGTCTCTAAGGTGCCACAAGTACTTCTTTTCTTTTAGAGAAATCAATGGTGATGACAAATTCCACAGCTGTTCCACCACTGGGAGACCTGACTTATGATTAAGGGGCAACCACCACCAATCAGTATCTCACACTGCAGCATCTCACAACACAGCAAAGACTATAGAATGCCCCAATGGCCACTAGTTAGTCTTTGCTGCATTGAGTTTTAACCAGTTGTCTTTAATCCCAATGAAAAAAAAGTTGGCTGGCAAAGAAACAGTCTAATAGCCAAGAAACAGGCAATAATAGAATTGAAAGTGCTGCATGTAGTGCTGCATTTTGCCATCCACTTACTGTTGTTATCTCAGATCACAGTTTCATAAGATCTCCCCCATTAGCCTTTATGTATGGTTAAGAGTAGAAGAATACTATGGCACCCTATAGGTACAGATGAACAAGTGCCTATGAACACTCCTCCTTTCCAGGAATTATCAGAGCCATTCCAGAACAACCCACCCATTCCCACCAAGAACCACAGCCTCAGACAGACTGGGTCAATGGCTGTTGGAAGATTTAGCCATCAGCAATGGCAGTTTATCAGTGTTGTTGTCGTAGTCCTGTTGGTCCCAGGATATTAGAGAGACAAGGTGGATGAGGTAATATCTTTTACTGGAACAACTTCTGTTGGTAAAGTTGGTCCAATAAAAGGTATTACCTCACCCACCTTGGCTCTCTAGTTCCTTTGCCCCCAGTCTGCCCTGTTTAGACTGTGTCTTGTTCCTCTTCTCAGCTCTCTAATTCATTGTCTTGTGATTGGCATGAATCCCAAGGGAGCGAGTTTGGCATAGCATGCTGCTTCAAAGTACTTATTATAGCAAACAGGAAAGTACTCAAACATCATTGGTGTCCATTCCCTTACTGTGTCAGTTTGATTCTGACAAAAAAAAATTGTGTCCCTCTCCTCTCCCCCTTACTTCTTAAATGCTGTACTTTCTCCAAAGAGAACAGTGACACCCTTTATGTTCTGGGTCAGTGACCAGGTTGAGCAAGACCAGTGATTTATTTAGAGGAAGGTGACTAGAAAAGTCACCCCCTCTGTCCAAAAGAATGAGCTGTTCCCTGGCTTTTAACATTTGATAGCTCCCCTCACTCTCTGTATATTAGTCTTTGACCTGCATTATCATTTGTTCGACACATTACAAAATGTTGTTTCCTTGGATCTGCAGCTTCAGGACATTTGCGTAACACAGCCACTCTGGACAGTTCCCATCTAGGACTTTTACAAATAAATCATTGGGCAAGAAACAGACCAAAGCCAGCCAACTTTCTGGAGCTTGCATATAGTAATAACTGGGAAATTCCAACAATATAGAAATCACTGGTATATGTTCACAAAACAAAACCTCTATTCTGAAATAATGCCTTGCCAGAAAGCACAGGGGCAGCTACAGAGAAGATTTGGAAGGCTTGGCCCCTACATGGGGGAAATTATGGGCGAAAGCCCCCCAGAAAACAACCTGTTGCTCAAATCCAGTCGACTAGCGGTTATCTTCCGGCACCCTCCTGGCTCCATGGTGAGGCTTCCCAGCAAGGGGCTTGACAGGTGACTGTTGCCGCCTTCCAGCCAGGGTGGGCCATGGACACCTGCAGATCCTGCCACTGAAGGGCTGGAACTGCGAGTAGCTCCGCTGAGTCTGGGGAGGACGCAAGGCCCCATCTCAGGGGGCCCACCCCCACTTTTAAAGGCTCAGGTTCCCACCGGGGCTGTGCCTGGCGCTGGGGCGGGAGGGGCAGGGCGCAGGCCGTTTTGAAGCCGCCAAGTCACTTGCCCTGTTCAGGACCCAGGCAGAGCCCCGCCCCGCCGCGCCTTGGCACCAGTTAGGCCAGTTTCAGGGCCGCTCTCCTGCCCCAGCGCGGGCGGGCGGCCGCGATCAGCCAGAGCAACGCGCTGCCCCTCCCGGCCTGGGCCCAGAGCCCCGCCGCAGGGGCCGGAAGGCCCTGGGGGCTCCTGCAGCGCTGTGTCCGCAGCCGCAGCCCGCTGCCCCGCCAGACCGGGCCGGGCGCCAGGCGTGTGGCGGTGCCAGCATGACCCCTCTCGCCCTGCACAGCCGCGGGGCTTTCCCGGGGGCGCTGCCGGGAAACTCTCACCGCACAGTGGACAGACTTGCAAAATCTCTTCCTCCCCCACCCCCAATCCCCGCTGCTTGATAAATGCTTCCACTCCGCTCCAAGCTGCGAGACGCGGCTCCGCAGCGACGCGATCCAGGCTGGGGAGGCGCTGGTTTGCCTGCCGCAGGCATCATCCCTCACCGAGAGTCGCGGGCGGGGGAGGTAAGTAAGTTTCTCAGGTGTCCCTCGCCTCCCGCAGCTCCAGCGGCGGGGGACTGCTCGCCAAATTGCTGCCTGCCCTTTCTCTCTGAGCCGAGGCAAGTTTTGTTTTTGCCAAGTCTGCACTGCTGAGAGGGCCATGAACTCAAACTTCTACAGTGTCCCGAATGAGCTTGCCCTGACTTTCCCCCGTGACATACATAGGGATGGCTTGCTTCCTTTCTCTTTCTTCTCTGTTAATCACCTTTCACAAAAAATGTTCCTCGCGAAAAGTGGTGATGGATGGGGCAGCACCAGAGATTTGTTGGGACTTTTTTTTGTAAGATAAAAATTAATGGTGGACAGGAAATCAGCTCAGTCTGTTACAGAGTTCATAGTTTTTTCAAAACACAAAATCTGATCCCAAGTTTATTCAGCCTTTTAAAGGTATTCATCATATTTAAAGGAAGTAAGCAAAGCACCCAGAAATACTGCTTTTGTTAAAAAAGTACTGACTAGACTGAAAAAGCAGAGTTTCTTTGTAACTACAATACCAGAAATTTTGTTTTGGATTTTAGCAATCAAAGCAACGACATTCCCATGTTTCAGAGTAACAGCCGTGATAGTCTGTATTCACAAAAAGAAAAGGAATACTTGTGGCACCTTAGGGACTAACCAATTTATTTGAGCATAAGCTTTCGTGAGCTACAGCGTAAGGTGACATTCCCATGGTATTTGATTTTCCTGATCCTGTACTTATAACTCATCAGTTGTTGAAAGGATAGCTAGATACTGCAAATTTCTTTTTCCTTGTGCAGATTCAGCTATGGACTTCATCGTTTCTATGCTCAGAAATCAGTGTTCCAATAATGTATTAATGTTTAAAATGTATATTTTATAGGTTGATATGCAAATGTCTCCATTGTTGCAGAAGGAAAAGGATTTTTCCTTAACAATGACTTGTACCAGACTGTTAATTCAGAGACCACTTGAGGCTGTCAGAACTATTCTTATCTTCGATATATGAAAAATTTCATATTCCCTGTAAACGTGCAATCATATAAAATGTCACTCAAAGTACAGCAGATTTTTTTCAGATTCTTGTTCTTTTATAAAACAGTGCATTCCGTTGAGGCTGTAATTTGTTAATTTATTTTTTTGAGATATGACTTTTCCAAAGTTCCCAGATTTGTTGGTACTAATGATTCAGAATTGCATGAAATTGTAATAACTAAAAAAAAAAAAAAGTACTCTTACCGCACCAAAATATTTCAATAAGTCTATGTGAAATCAAGTTTACTAGTACTTTCTTCTTCCAGGGTGAAAAGTACTTAACATGTTTGTATAGCAGTGGGCCAGACAGAATGTTCCAATTACTTCCATTCTTAGAACACAGAAGACACGTAGTTGGCTAAAGTAGCTCACTTAGTGACACACAGGAGCATTACAGAGTACTTTAAAGGATGATATCGTAGATCTGTACATGCTCAGCCTACTCTTTTTTTTATCCAAATCCCTTTTCTTAGTTGATTTTGAGATTGTCTTAGGACAAAATGGAAGGCGAGAGCAGCTCTAAAACATACTCACTAACAGAAATGGTAGAAAAAACATTTCATGTGAATTTTTTCATTTGATTTTCAAGAAATTTTCTGGATGACACGATTTATTTCAATTTGAAATCAAGTTTTAATTTCATTTTTATTTTTGAAAACAAGCTTTTCCCCCATTTTAGGGTATCCCTCCTCATACACACTTTGTCTTCCTTTATTCTTGTTTGTCACTGAATGCAATAAAAAACAAACAATGTCCAGGAACCATCCTACCCTGCTCCCACCCACACTCCCTTTTTCCACTCTAACTTTTCAAAACTTCTCCAACTTTGGAAAAAAAGTTACCAACTGTCAAACAGAAAAGTGAAATTCAAACTTTGCAAAAGTTACCAAGTTGGAGAAGCTCTGAAAAGTTAGGTGGGGGGGAGGAAAGAAGGAAAAGGGGAAAAATGAAAACATATGGGAGGGTGTAGTGATGTGACAACTCACCCGTGCAGCACCTCCTGCTGGTCATCCTGAGAATTAGCTCTTCCAGCCCAGAGCACCCTCTGTAGGCCAGTGTCTCGCTTGCCACTAGCCCCCGTGTCCATCACAGACCCCAGTGACCTTTATCCTGGAGTGCTGCCCCAGCAGTACCCCCACACTCTGGGTCTTCCCGCCCTGGAGAACCCCCAACCCTCTAAACCCACCTTGCCTCAGTCAGTCATCATCTAACCCCTGCTCACTGGGGCAGACTGCAGTGTAATGGCCACTCATCGTTGGCAAGGGGTTAGGACCTGCTGCCTTTGCCTATCCCCGGGCTGCCCCTCTGCAGCCCCAGTACCTTTTTAGGCCTTTAACAAGGCCAGCAGCCTGGGGGTTTACCCGGAGCTCCCCAGCTCCCTTGCCCTATTCCCCAGCACTGCTCTGCCTCAGGTACCCTTCTCTCCCAAGCAGCCAGCTCCTTCTCTCTCCAGAGCTAAAGAGACGCTGCGCTAGGTACCTTGTTCCTAGGCAGCTCATCCTTCCTACTTCAGGGTTAGAATGAGACTCCTTCAGCTCCTAGCCCGCAGCCCTCTTATAAGGGCCAGCTGGGCCCTGACTGAGCTGGCCACAGCTGTGGTCAGCTACTCACTCAGCTTTTCCCAGCTGCAGCCCTCTCCAGGGCCCCCTTCAGGGCCAGAGCAGGGTGACCATCCCGCTACAAAGGGCAGCCTTAGACATTATTTGTATTATTGTACTCAGTCACTAAAAAGGAGGGGCAATGGAGATGGGGGGGCAAAACTTTTAAATTCTTTTCATCTTTCAAAACTAAAACAAAATTTCAATTTGAAATGTCATTTCAAAATTTCCCCATCAAAAATAGAAGAAGAAAAATCAAAAGTGTTATTTTCCTACAGAAACACATTGTTTTCAATGAAACCTCATTTTTCAACAGGAAAAGTTTCAGCCAAAAAATTTCAGGCTGTATTCACTAAACACACAGAAAAATCCTGCTCTCAAGTGAGGCCAGGGGTCTTTATGCAACAAAATCCATCTGAAAATTAACTATAACACTGGATTTTAAATCACACACACACACGCACCCCAGTTGTAGCTAGGCTTGAAAATCTGTTTTGTGGTAGAGGGCATGTAAGGAACAGCTTAAGATCAATTCCTGCATGGGAGACTCACTATCCATTTATCCACACCTGCCATAATAAAGTGTCTGAACCTTCAGTCATTTTACACACAAAATTCCCATTCACACAGTACTGTTTTTTACTTTGCATTGCAAATGAGGGTGAATTGGAATAATAAGGGTATTGCACCTGATATCACTCCATGAGGTTGGCTAGTCATTCATCATGTTACTATGGAGAGGAGACCTAACTTTCAGAGCACTGTACCTCCAGAACTCCTGCAGGGCTTCGAGCTGCCACCAAAATGCTAAGAGCAGAACAAACCCAAATCAGCATTATGTCTTATGTATCATGTTCTAAAGTGCATGGAAAAAGGAAACGTGGTGTTTCTATAAATCTCTATTGCCTTAGCACCATTATTGGGTGGCAGCAGTCTTCAGAGGGAAGCCACCGTAGTTTCTATTATCTAATTTAAGTAACTCGTGGTCTCTGAGTCAGGCTCATCCCTGGTTTAATTCCACTTATTTCTTTCCACCTGAAATGTGTGAGATTGTGGCAGAGGTGATGCTTTTGGTCTTAGAAGGTTGAAGTTAGTTTAAACCTCGCTAACAGGGGGCTTTAGGGGCTATAGGTACAGTTGTAATGAAGAAACAATGAATGATATTAGAGAATGACAGGGTGGCTGGAAAGCCTTGGTTTATGTGCACAGACACCTTTGTGACTGACCTTATTTGGTCAGGGAAGGAGTAAGAACGAAAAGATTTCTTTCTGATACCTCCAGTCCTTCTGATTCACAACAGATTAAGAAGAAAAAAACCCACAAGCCGTGCTGCAGGAAGTAATTGGTTGTTATTTTGATAGGAAATTTAGATCAGAATAATTTTGTTTTACATTAAACAATGGCATATTTTAAGAGATTATTCTTTTTCTAAACACTCTTCTCAGTCTGCATTTTATTAATCAAAATGACAATTGATTGGGGCATTTTTCTTAATAAAACAGCTCGAATGGTAGTGATTTACACTGTTGTGTCAGAGACCTGACTACAGTATCTAACAATGGTATTTAAGAGCAAAATTCTCCTTTCAGATTTAAGTGATGGAAGTACTGACTGATATTCTGGTGTCCCTGCTGGAACAGACCTTCCATTAATGTTAATGGGAAAAGAGAATATCAGAATTTAGATTTGCTGTGTGTACTTTAGGAGAATTGTCCCCTAAACATCTGAGCAGTCAAGGTCTGAGAGCAATTCCAAGGCATTGACCCAAATTCTGCCCAAACTGTTTAGCTTCCCTGAAGTCAACTGAGATCCATTGGGTGTAAATCAGAGCAGAACTGAGCTTAGTCCAGCTGCCAGGAGGTAGAAAACAGTGTGCCACATTGCTTTGGGACTGTCCACCTAGACACAGAACTGGGTCATCCTCTGCTGCTGTTTTAACAAGGAGACGCAGGAGGAAGTAAAGAACTGAGTTGTTGTCATAAACATGTTGTTAACATTATGTTACTGCTTAATTACCAACCAGGTATGAATAGCCCTGTCTTCAGCTCTTCTTGTTCCTATATTGTGAGACACCACCTTCAGAATATCCTAGTTCCAGTGATGCCTGAAACTGTTTTGCCGTCCAGCATGTCCAACAGACAACCCCTCTAATGTGTAGTGTCATAAAGCCAGACCTCTAAGGAACTTGTTCAGAGTGTTGACATCACTAATGGACAGAAGAAGATAGATTGTAATAAAATACATAGGGAACTGTTTACACCATTTATCAATCAGTTTTTAGCAAGTGATCTCATTGGATCCAGTGTATTATAATTGCTGCCATATTTATATAAATGGCATGGTTTGGGCTGTGAGAGGTCTAAAAGTATTTAT